AATTCTAGGGACTTTCCCTTTAAAATGTTTTGGATAAAATCTAAATTGATATGATGCAATGTGTAGAGGAAGAAAAATCTGCTTTGATTGTGGTGATAGAAAAAGTGAGTGAAATAAAGCACAGGATAGTCCTGCCTGGATTTTCAGACACCACCTGTCTGCAACCCGAGGCATGGCTTTCTGTGCTGCACTATACATTGTTAAATAAAGGTCTCTATATTTGGTTTACTGAAAGCCCCAACAGCAGCCGCAATGTCAAGTGCTCAAGTGATAAGCCCCCTAAAGCTTGTTGTCTTAGCCAGAGATGAGCTCAGTTTGTAAAAGAAACAGAGACATGAGTTGGTTATTTTTGTCTAAACTAAGATCCTGGATAATTTAATTTATTTTCCTCATCTTACTTTGACCATAAGAGCCTCCAGACAATTTACTGTAAGTGGCAGTATAAAGGGAGGTTACCTTACAGGAGTGTCAGGGAATCTGAAGCTATATAGGTTTCAGAATGGTTGCCGTTTTAGTCTGTATCAGTAAAAACAACAAGGAGTCTTTGTGGCACCTCAGAGACTAACAAATTTATTTGGGCTTATGCCCAAATTTGTTAGTCTCTAAGGTGCCACAAGGACTCCTCATTGAAGCTATATAGACAGCCTATTATGTATGTCTCTGTACAAAGTTATTCAGACCTGCAGCAAACTTGAATTTGTATTGATAAATGACTGAATACAAACTCTAAGACTTGTTACCAGCCAATAGTAGTTGAAACACTCTGCTTGCAGAAAAGCAGCTTAGTGCTGAATTAAACATATCTGTTGTCTTGCTGTTCACCTGTAATTTTGTGTTAACTAAAAACAGCACATTGAGCTCACTGGTGATTCTTAGGGTATGTCTTCACTAGCAACGTTAAAGCACTGCCACGGCTGCGCTTTAACGTGGCTTTGTAGTTGCGGCACCAGTGTTGGGAGAGCTAAAAACCACCCCCACGAGGGGAGTCCCAGCGCTGGTGCACTGTCTACACTGCCACTTTACAGTGCTGAAACTTGCAGTGCTCAGGGGGTGTTTTTTCACACCCCTGAGTGAGAAAGTTGCAGCGTTGTAAAGTGACAGTGTAGACAAGGCCTTAGACTGGGCAAACTGGCTCCTCAGGCAGCCTGTGAACTTCACAGACACTTTCCTCACTGGAAACCATGCTGACTCCTGATGTTTATTTCATCTAGGAAACCTGTTCTGCATCCTGATTACTGCCCCTCCCCCTGCCCCTCAGTCCACAAGGCCTGCAATACTGTACATTTTCAACAGGCAGCTGGGATGATTTCTCTCAGGCCTGGTCTACACTAACACCCCAATTCGATCTAAGGTACGCAACTTCAGCTACGTGAATAACGTAGCTGAAGTCGACATACCTTAGTTCGAATTTACCGCGGTTCAGACGCGGTCCACACGCGGCAGGCAGGCTCCCCCGTCGACTCCGCGGTACTCCTCTCGCTGAGGTGGAGTACCGCAGTCGACGGCGAGCACTTCCTGGTTCGAATTATCGCGTCCAGACCAGACGCAATAAATCGAACCCGGAAGTTCGATTGCCAGCCGTCGAACTACCGCGGTAGTGTAGACAAGCCCTTAGTAACATTATGACACAGAAGTGGGTTGGTAGGTCACTAGCAATGATATGACGACTGAGGAGAAAGATTGCTGTGTCCTCAGTGAATGCTCTATTTAAAGTGATACAGAAAACACATACTTAAAACTGCAAAGTCCCCTCCCCCAGCCAGTCTGTCTCCAGCTGAAATGAAGTGAATCAGCACAGAGAAAATTCCCCACCCCCTCAGCGTGGAATGAAATAAGAATCAACCTGCAAGCAGTTATCTCATCTGCAGTCAAATCCGAGATTGTGTCTAAAGTGTTTAGTTCACCCATGAACACTTTGAAGCACCTGAAGGATGTGTTAATGAACTAGTGTATTAATTGTTGTTGAGATTAACAATTACAGGTCTCTGAGTATGTTTTAAAACAATGAGAAGGTAGAAGATGTTTAAACACTCTCCATGGAGTGAACTATAAAACCAAGGAATAAATAGTTAGCTTTGTGGATTAGCAATAAATGTAATTAACATGTATATGCCCTCTGCCCCCATACAGACTCTTAAAAGCAATGCTACCCAATTTCAGGAATCAGTTCTAAAGAGAAACATAGCCAAGTATCCCAAGACTATATAATCCAGCTGGGAAATCATAAACCACTAGAGAGCCTGACCAATTTCACACCAGAGTCCAAAATGGCATTTCCCTGCAGTATGGTTTTGTATTTTACAAAGTCCTTGTGAGCTTCCACTAGCAGTTCTTGTGCACTGTCCCCTGGGCTCTTACACTGCGTTCCTCTGACACTTCAGGCCTCTTCTCCTTTTACTGCTAAAAATCAACAAGAAAACCCGTTGTTTAGAATACTACAAACAAGACCCTATTTGGTTCAGTGCAAATATGTCCCATTATTGTGGTACCATGTTACAGGGGAGCAGGGGATCCCCAAGTGGGAGCTGGCTGGGTGCCAGCATTAAGGTCTCCATCACCAGCTGATCATCTTCAGTAGCAGAACACAGATCATTTGCGCAATTTTTTTTTAAAAGCAAGGCAAATATTTTAAAGTAAAAGAAGGTTAAAAATACAATTTGAAAGAAAGATTAAAGAAGAAAGGAGAACAATGAGGGTAAAATTCTGGGCAGGACAATCGTATAGTGCTCAGTCTTGCTCTATCACCCCCACTGATCTCTAGTCTCCAGATCAGATCTGTGCTATTGAATGCAAGGTCAGTAGCTATTCAGGTAGCTCCCATGCATGATTTATTTAAGGATAAGCACCTAATACTACTGGGTTGGATGATGCTGTAGACCCATTATTAACCCAGTGACTTCAGCAGTAATCAGGAGAGAGTCAGGGAAGTGGTGCCTGTGCTGATTCTATCCCTAGCTGGTTTCTCCCCCAAAAACTGATAAAGTATGTCCATCTTGCATGTGATTCCTGAGCTAGGGGGAAGATGGAGCTAGTGCAAGGGTACAGATTGCCTTACTGCTCCAAGGTGTTCTTGAGCTAACAGAGTTCTTCTCCAGCGGGGCATTTGAGTCACCAACATCAGTGATTATCCAGTTTTTTTCATTCTGCAGACTATTTTGTTAGAAAAAACTTTCCTCCTAAATACCCAGTCCCCCAGTACATGGATCTCAGAATGTTCCATGGCTAATCAGGAAAAATTCCACAAACAAATGATGGTCCATGGGCCACTCTTTGAGAACCTCTGATCTAGATCACTTCTGGTAGGTAACCATGCGCATGGTGACTCCTGTGAGTTAGCCACTCCTTGAACTATTACAGGAATTTCCAGCTTCCCCAAGTCCTCTCTGTGCTCTGTGATTCACAGCCTGCATTACAGAAGTTCTTCCCCCTTTTCCCACTTCCATCTCTCTCTCCTGCATTCTATTCAAGTCAGCATTACAGCATGAGAGGAGTGCCCTGCTTTGCTCCTGTAATATCAGCACTACAGGAATCCTTCTACTTATCTACCTCCCTCCTATGCTCTGCTCCCCAGCTTAGAATTGCAGCACAGAACCATGACAGAAGCTATTGCAGCTGTATTTATCACATTATGCTCAACTTCCCCAGACCACTCAGTGCTGCTGCATTATAGGAATTTCCTATTACCCCACATATTTTACTCTCCAAATTAGACCCAGGCTACAGCAATACTGGGGCCAGGTTTAAAGTGGTTAGAAAGAACTGCTACATATGACATTACCCAGTGATGGAATTTTCTTAGTGCATAATAGTTATGGCTTGAGTAATTGGTTTAAATACCTTTATAATGCTCTGGTTTCTCTGGATGGGGAAGGAAAGTATTTTGAATATTAGGTGGCAAATGTATACCAAGGTGAAAGGTATTGAATTTGTCAGGCAGGGAGCAAAGTGTGACTACGTTAGCCCCTTGAGGCTAGCTAGTGATGGGTCTAGAGCAGCCATGCAACAAAGACTGATGTGCCAATACCAGACTGGCAAATGGTAGGTGTTCCAAACCTAAGAGTTCAGCAATAAGATCAGATTAGCCCATAGGATTTCTTTCCATCACCTTCCTAGTGCACTGTCCTGAACATGTAAATGACAGCACCATTACTAGCAGCAACGTGTCCTGAACAGAAACAGGGATGGGATGATCAGATGCTGCACTCCCCATTTAATCAGGGAGCACAAAATAACTGTTCCAACTCCAGGAACTGACCTGCCTCTGCCCCCTCTCTTTTGAGAGTGCTTTTTTGGAGAGGGAGAAGTAAGGATTTTAACTGTTGATAGGAGTTCTCTTGCTTTCCCACCTCCCTGGCCCTGTGCCCTGCTCCCCATTCTTAGATATGCACTACTGGAGCTGCTGCTGCTGCCCCGTATGCCTTCTGTGCTCTATTCCTGACACCCATGCGACAGCAGGTCTTGTGCTGCTCTGATAAATAGTTATCCTCCTGTAATAGAAGGCGCTGATATTTTGGTTTAGAAAGTTACCTCTGTTTATCCAAAGAAACTCATTTTACTGTCAGTGTAGTGGCTCATCAGTAGTAATTCATTTGTGTTCCCATTCTGTTCCCATGTTGTAATCACCCCCTTTCTGCCAAGAGCCTTTGAACAGATCTGCTCCTCTTGGTATCTGCCCTTCATCCTCTTATGAAACATTACAGTTTTGCACAATCTAAGGATGATCTTGTGATTGAAGCTCTGGACTAGCACTCAGGAGATCTGGCTTCACTGCCTGACTTTCCCACTGACCCCCATGTGACATTGTCTTTCTTGTCTATGTAGATTGCAAGCTCTTTGGGACAGGGACTTTCTCTCACTATATATCTGTGGAGCGCCTGGCACAAAAGGCCCCGAGATCTTGGTTGATGCCTGAAGCCTCTACTGTAATAGGAATAATTAATAATAAGTTGAGATTTCACCCTTGTAGATATTAATGGTCTTCCCTCCTGTTCCCTGTGCAGAAGCAGCTGATGGGAACTCTACATTGGGAGGAGGAGCCGGCACTATGGGCCTCAGCACCAGGTATGGCCCCCAGTTCACACTGCAGCACGTCCCTGACTACAGGCAGAATGTGTACATCCCCGGCAGCACTGCCACCCTCTCCAACTCCTCAGGTAAACGAGATGGGAAGAGCTCAGGCTCTTCAGGTGGAAACAAGAAGAAGTCTGGGAAGAAGGAGAAGAAGTAGAATTGACAGACCATCAGCAGCTTAGACCAACAGGGCAGACCCCTCCAGCACTCCCCCAAATCACAGCCTAGGATAGAGGATGAATGTGAATTTTGTGATGAAAAAGCAGGAAATACAACGAATGTATGTCATCATCAGAGCTAGGAGTAGGGGCTCCTACTATTAGTCCTCATGATGAAAAATAATTGGAAACAAAACAAAACAAAAACCAAGTGCCCTGTTAATACTAACTAATATTTTATACTATCACTTGGGTAATTTAATGTGCAAGGATGTAAAATCTTTTAAACATGTCTTTGGATTTGGTTTGCTCCAGAATGGTCCAAGAAAGCCATGAGGCTTGTACTTGGCTTTGCCCAGTGTAAATAATTGTAACATGGATTTTTTTTTAATTTATATACCTTAGATCATTTAAAAAAAAAAGTTCCCCAGATTAGAACCCATGTTCCAGATTTTGATATTTAACTTTCCATTAGTGAATCTGACCCTGAGTAACCTTGAAATGGATTCCTAGTTACGAAGTTGGTAGGGAGTGCTTCAGTTCCTGTTTACCTATTATCCTAAAAGAAATAAGTGTTTACACTGCATGAGCCTATGGGAATAAGGCTAAGATGCATTTTAAACATTTTTTTTTAAGTGTGACCGGTGATGGCCTGAAATATGAAACAAAAATCATGATGTCTGAGAGACAGGGAATGCATTCAAACTGCAGTGGAAAAGATCTAAGTGCAGAGCATGCCACTAGCATTATTGAGCTATACAAAACCTGTCCATATTGATTTAGAGGCTACTAAAGAGCAAATTCATCTCCTCAATTCTTTGCAGTAAATATTTATATGTACAGTTAATGTTTTCCTGGAACTAAAGTTAAGAAAGTCTAAGTCCCCGGCTGTGAGAACAAGGAGCTGCAGCTCCTTAAAGCAATGAAATAACTAAGTCCATACCAAGGAATGATATTATCAGAGAATAAACTCTGATCTATTTGTATGGAATAGAGACTGAATGCTTCACATTTCTGCACATTGAACTGCATGCAAAATACTCACCTCACATCTACAGTAGGACAGCTAACTCCACCAGATCTAGGGAAGTCATCATTGCATGCATGTACAGCATGGTGTAAATACACTGTCAGATAAGTGAGTCTCAGTGCAGGCCAAGCAGTGTCTATCTGGGAGTGGGGTTCAGTAATAAGTGGCACAATGTGTTATAAAGAGTCATTGCTCTGGCCTAGAGCAGTGATAAGATTTGCACATTCCATGTCTATGCAGAGCAGCCAAGGAACAGCCTTTGTTCATTGGCCTTCAGAACTGGATACTCAGTAACTGACAGTTGATTTGATGAGACCAAGGGACCATACTCACAGATAAGGGAACCAAGAACTGGAGCTGAGCACATGCCACTCACTGCAAAGCCAGTGAGCCTGAGAGCTTCTCTGGAGATGCTCACAGGAAGGCCCAGGTCAGTCAGGTGACTAAGAGGTAGGATTCTGATACCGTGAAGGATACTGCCAGACCACACACTCATTCCAGCCCAGACTCTAACTGTACACAACCAATTAGATGTGACTCAAAATCCACTGGATTTAGTCAGAAATGTGGACAAGACTTTGCCTTGTTGTTGGTACCACTGGTATTGGGATTTTTACCACATTGATAGAATAGGATTGTCAGGAAGTAGGGTCTCTCCACTATGTACCCTTTGTAGCTATGTACTCTGCTCACTGTAGGTCCAGACACAGCAAAGAGAGAGCGTGCAGTGTGCCCTTAGCATCGAGTCAGCTTGGCATCGAGTCCCCACAAGCACCTAATCAGTGAGGAAGGCTGTATTGTACCCTTAAGCCCCTCTTCAGCTAGAGAAGGGGGATGCCCTTTACACTGGGCTGGCTTCCCATATCAAAGTAAGTGGGACGGACCTGGGAAGGCAAGGACAAAGATACAGGGATAGCGATGCCAGGATTGTTTTAACTTCTAATGAATAACTCACCTGAGAAGATCCAGCCTTCTATGATCACTCAGGTTAAACTTTCTCCAAGCAGCCAGTGTGCTTGCCTGGCCTGATGCAGCCCAGCCTCCAGCAGTATTCACCAGAGCATTGTGCACTAACTGATGCCTCGTTAGCCAATTGCTATCTCCTTGTGTCTAGAGAAACAGAACTTGTCTATGCGAAGAACTTGTCTGTGTATGATTTTTGTACTGATCCCAGTCACCCTCTGCGGTGGCTGCACTAGAAACAGTTTACACAGTTAGTAAGGCTTATACAAACTAATGTAGTTATTATGTGACCCTTCTAGAAGTACTGTAGATGAATTGTAGTGTTTATATTTCCTTTTAATCAGCAATCTGAGGTAGTGTAGAGAGTGTTTTGTACTAGTGGTGTGTTATTTTTATCTCAGTAAATAACTTGTGGACATCAGTATTTTCAATTTCTCTTTATCTTCTTTCTGTGTGATCTGTGCTCTAAGTGTATGTGAACTGAAACACACTTGTCCTTTCAATGTGTCTAATATTGAATTATACTTATATATTATATAAATGCTTATATCCTTCTTATATCCATATAGACCAATGTTCAATGTGCTACACGCAAGTTTTATACTCTAATATTTATATTGCTTTTTTTCTTTGGGAAAAAATAATAAAATGGTTTCTTCTGAACTGATTGTAAAGTTGTTCCTGAGAGAGTCTATCTGTCTGCCTGCCTGCCTGCCTGCCTGCCTGACTTTCTATGTGACTGCTGTGTCTAGGCTGCAGACTTAGGTGACTAGAATGGGTATAGTAAATTATCATTCAACCTTCAGAAACTGATACAGAGGCTCATGCTGCAGGGTTTATTCCCGTGTAATGTAGTGAAAACTGTGAATTATCCCTTGAGCACTGGTGCTTGGTCTCCTGGCCTCTGTGGCCCCTGGAAAAGCATGGCTACAAGTAGGGTGACCAGATGTCCCGATTTTATAGGGACAGTCCCGATTTTTGGGTCTTTTTCTTATATAGGCTCCTATTACCTCCCACCCCCGTCCCGATTTTTCACACTTGCTGTCTGGTCACCCTAGCTACAAGGAATGCAGACAGCCCCCTGAGGGGAATCCGTGGAGTGAAGGGAGTAACAGCATTCTAAGTACTGCAAACTTAGGGCTAGTCTACACTGGCAACGTTAAAGTGCTGCCGTTTTAACATGGCTGTGTAATCGTGGCAGAGCGCTGGGAGAGAGCTGGGAACCCTGGGGTAGCGGCAGCAGGGCTCCGGTGGCTATTTAAAGGGCCCAGGGCAGTAGAGGCAGCGAGAGCCCCGGCCCTTTAAATAACCCCCCCGGAGCCCCGCTGCCACTACCCCAGGGCTCCAGCAGCGGGGCTCTGGCGGCAATTTAAAGTGCCTGGGGCTCCAGCTGCTGCTGGGAGCCCCAGGCCCTTTAATTGCCACCTGGGGAAGCCAGGCCGCCCTGGTACGGCGCACCGGCTCTTGCTGGTATGTTGTACTGGGGCATACCGGCTTACTTTCACCTCTCGACAGGGCCCAGTGCTCCCCCACCAACCCCACAGTCATCCGTGACAGCTTCCATTGCTACCCCACCAGCTCTACCACCAGCAGTGAAAAGGCCCAGTGCTATTCCACCAACCCTCTCCCACACTGACAGGGCACAGCATTCCCTCAGCCCCCTCCCCCGTCACTGACAGGGCTCAGCATTCCCCCAGCCCCCTCCCCAGTCAGTGATATGGCCCAGCATTCCCCCACCACCCCTATTCACATGACTGACAGGGCCCAACATTCTCCACTCCCCTCCCCAGTCACTGACAGAGCCCAGCATTCCCCCAGCGCCCTCCCCCGTCAGTGACAGGACCCAGCATTCCTCCACCACCCCTATCCACATCACTGACAGGAACCAACATCCCCCACTCCCCTTCCCCATTACTGACAGGGCACAGCACCCCAACACTCCAATCCCCATCAGTTACAGGGACCAGCCCTCCATCACCACCTCAACCTGTCAGTGACAAGGCTCCAGCACCCCCCTCAATCATCACTGACAGGCCCCAATGTTCTCCCACCACAACAACCCCATCAGTGACCGGGCCTAGCGCTCCCCATCACTGACAGGGTGTTGTTCTCCCCTTCTCCCATCACTGACAAAACCCAACTCTTCCCCTCCCCCAACACTGAGAAGGCTCAGCGCTCCCCTCCCCAGGTAATGAAAGACCCAGCCGCCAGCACTTACCTTCCTCCATCTCTGACAGGGGTCAGCACTCCCCCTCCCCCATTAGTCACAGGGCCAGGCCTCCCCATCCTCATCAGTCACAGGGTGCTTTCCTCTCCCTCTCCCCCATCAGTGGCAAAGCCCAGCCCTCCCCCTCCTACATCACTGATGGGGTGCTGTTCTCTCCTCATCACTGACAGAGCCCTACACTCCTGCTCCCCCAACATGGAGAGGGCTCAACACTCCCCTACTCTGTTAATGAAAGACCCAGTATTCACTTTCCTCCATCTCTGACAGGGATCAGCGCTCCCCATCCCCTATCACTAGTAGGGAGCTGTACTCCCTCCTCCCTATACCCATCCTTGAAAGCATCCTCTGCCCACCACCCCCATCACTGTCAGGGGGCTTTTCTCCCCCATCCCTCAACAGTGACATGACAGGGCCCAGCCTAATCCCCTTCCTCATCTGTCATGGGGTACTTTTCTCTCCCCGTCCCCCATCACCGAAAGGACCCAGCCCTCCCCTCCATTTCCTCTCAGTCACAGAGTGATTTTCTCTCCCCCACCCCCATCACTGACAGGACCCAGCCCTCCCCGTCCCCTGTTAATGAAAGGCCCATGCTCACCTTTCCCCATCTCTGACAGGTCCCAGTGCTCTCCCTCCCCCGTCCCTGGCCGGGTGCTTGCCCCCCCCCCTCCTCCCTCCCTAACAGGGGGTCTCTTTCCCCCCCCCCCTCCAATCACAGAGGGGCCCAGTGCTCCCCATCCCCCATCAATCACAGGACCCACTGTTCCTCCCCTTCTCCCCCCTCCAATCACAGAGGGGCCCAGCACTCCCCATCCCCCATCAATCACAGGACCCACTGATCCCCCCTCCCAGTCACTGACAGTGCTATTCTCTTCCCCCACCCCAGTTGCAGAGCCAGCACTCCCCCTCCCCCATCACTGACACAGTGCTATTCTCCCCCCTCCCCCATCACTGACAGGATTTATGCTCCCCTCTCCCCCATTACTGGCAGGATGCTGTTTTCCCTTGGCCCCAACCCCATGAATGACAGACTCCTGTGCCGCCGCCCCAACCCCATCACGGATAGGTGCTTTTTATTTTTTTTTACACACACACACACACACACTCTCTCTCTCTCTCTCTCTCTCAGCTGGGGGACTCAGCCTGGAGCGCGCCCTTCGGAGAGGTAGATTTCTGCGTGCCCAGGTTCACCTCTTCCCCGCCTCTGTCCCTAAGGCGCAGGGGCCTTGACATCAGGCGGGGGTGGGGGGAACGACCCGTGCATCAGGAACCCTCGCGGAGTGACCCGGTCATTTGGGTGCAAGGAAAGAGTCCCACGGCCCTGCCCTTGTGCCTCCGCTGTGCCCGGGCAGGCTGAACGCCCGGGAGCACGTGCATTGGAGCGCTTTCCTGCTGCCTGCCGGGGCTGCTTGTGAGGGGGGCCCAGGGCCTGGATTAGGCAGCAGCGCTCAGAGGCAGCCAGAGAGGAGAGCGGAGTCGCTCGCTGCAGATGTGAGCTGCGAAGCCGAGGCGGGGGAGGGGAACCTGAGCCTCAAAGCTCCGGCTGGTCACAGGCGCCAGCCTGAAGCATAGAGGCCGAGTGAGTGTGTCTGGGCTGCAGGGACGGATGGACTCGGTCGATAACTCGTGGCTGAGCTAGAGCAGAATTAATGTGAGAGGCGAGTCTGCGGAGTCTGAGCCGTGGCAATGAGCTGGTGCCAGTCTAACGGGGGCAGTAACCATTAAAAAGGGCGCCCGTCCCCAGAAGACCCCTCCCTGCCACAGATAAACGGGGGGGGGGGGGGCTGGATTCAATCTGAAAGACCCAGATCCTCAAAAGTATGTGGGCACCTAATTCCCATTTATTTCATTGTCCTGTAAGAGCCTAAGCTAAGTACTTGAGAGGCTCTGGACCAAAGCCCCCAGGTGCCTGGATCTACCCTCAAAGGCACCGTAGGTGAAATAAAGGTAACACGAGGGACACAGGACCCCGCTCCCACACCTGTGTCCCCAAGGCACTGACTGTAATAGTGTCTAACTTCAGAGCACACCAGCGACATTTCACAAGCGATCAGGGCCGGCATTACCCCCCCCCCCTCCCCCCCCGAAAATCAAAGGTGCCCCCCCCCCCCCCCCGCCTTGTACATTTCTGAAGCCCCGACCGCGGTCGCGCCCCTGGGGCGTGGGGCCCCGGCCAATTGCCCCCCCCAGCTCATAAGCCCTCCGAGAACGTCTGGGTGGGATGGGCTGTTAGCACCCCTGGGTGGCTGACACCTTTCACAGCCTATCCCCTAGCCGGAGGGGGGAGGCTCCCAGAATTAGGGCCTGGCCTGGCCACGGGGGCGAATCTCTGACTGGCTAGTTGTGGGGAGAAAGGAAGCCCCCGAGGAATGTCAGGCTCTTTCTCTTCTGCCATCTCAAGTGTACCGTCTTGCCCCGGCTGGCAGCACCTTTCCTGTGCCTGAGGGTGCCTGCCCCTCTGCTCTCAGGAATTCTGGTTTGTACTCAGCGCGCTGGGCTCCTTGGGCATTTGGAGGTGGCCGATAGTGACGGTCATTGCAGGCATCGTGTCGTGGCTGCCCTGGTTCTGTCCAGCCACAGCAGGAATGGTGTAAGCTGTTGCGAAATGCCGATGATGCTACAACTAGACAGGAAGGAGAGGCTCGGTTTGATCTAGCTGATTTCTTTCCTTAGCTGTTTATACGGGTCGCCCATCCCCACTTCTCTCCTCGGCTGCGCCTGTATAGCTTCTCTGCGCCAGGGCCCTGCCCTCTTGCTCTGCTTTGGCCTCAGATTTGCGGTTGCTTCATAACGAGCTCTAAATCGCACTGACGCAGGGACACTGGCTTCTCCCAGCTAAAGGTCAAGGGAGCTAATTGTGGACAGCCAGAGAACCGTCTCACGCACGCTGCAATTTTATTGTCAGAACTCACCGCACAACCCCCCGCCCACACACACTTCAACAGAGTCCAGCGAGGGTCTCCTGGCCTGTCACGTGTCTGTGGGGCAGCGGGCAGTCTGGCGTGGGGACTCAACAGGCTGGTGTCTGGAGCTGGGGACTTTTCTCCCCGCTGAATTCCGTCAGGGGCTGGGCGAGGCCTTTTGCCGCCATCTGGTCTCCCCGGTTCTGTGAGACAGCCTCTCCCCCTTTCAGGCTCGCACTGGGCTCGCTGAGGCAGCCTGCCCCTTGTGTGGCTCCCCAGGGGCTGGGCAGTAAATGGAACGTCGATACGTGTTCACTCCATTGACCGGCCTTGAATGCGCAGCTCGGCTCTAGTCCCTTTAAGTGCCGTTTAAAAATCTCCTGCTGTTTAATCTGCATCATTTCCTATCGATCCCGGCAGTGCTACGCTGACTAATGACATCTTATTTAATTGTGCAGGATCTCAGCCTTCCCGCAGCCGGAGTCAGCCGCGCGTCAGGAACAAGACACATTATGCTACACAGACATCATCAGATCTTAC